TGTGTAAATATTGTGTTTATGTAAATAAAAAATATATAAAATACCAAAAACACAAAACCAACATATCTACAGTCTCTTTTCTATTTGGTGTGTGTGTGTGTTTGTGTGTGTGTGTGTGTGTGTGTGTTATGATTGTGTGTGTTTACTCCTTGTGTTTGTGTGCATACTTGATTTTTGTTGTTTATATATGTATATGTGTGTGTGTGTGTGTGTGTGTGTGTGTGTTTGTGTGCAGCTATGATACGTTCCCGGTCCTCCAACCCGATCTGTTCGAGCGGCCGCAGGATCAGCTCCGCACCCCCGCTAGAGGAAGTGCCCCAAATAGCCCCGCCCCCCGACGCACCAAACAGGTAGGACTCAGCTCACGTCTTCAGAGGTCGGTCAGTGTGTGTGTGTGTGTGTGTGTGTGTGTGTGTGTGTGTGTGTCTGTTTTTTTTCTTTCTTTTCTCTATATCTGTCTGTCTGCATGTTCGTATATCTGTCTTTCTGTCTGTCTGTCTTCTCTTCTTCTTCTTCTGATGTGTTTGTGTTTGTGTCGTGTGTGTTTGGTCAGGAGATCAAGCTTGCGCAGAAGAAGGCTCAGAAGTACTCGTCGGTGCCGGAGATGTGGTCCAAGTGTCTGCTGGGTCACTGCTACGGGCTGTGGTTCATCTGCCTGCCCACATTCGTCAGGGCCGAGAGCGGGAAAGTCCGAGCGCTGCACACTGCGTACGAGGTGCTCAAACACATGGAGACACGCAAGGTGGTGCTGCCGGACGAGGTTAGAGCGCTCGCACACACACACACATGTATATATATATATTCACACACACACACACACACACACACACACACACACACACACACATATATATATATATATATTCACACACACACACACACACACACACACATATATATATATATTCACACACATATATACTCACCCACACTCCACACACAATCACTTATACTAATAAATAAAAACACACACACATATATATTCACACACACACACACACACACACACACATATATATTCACACACATACACGCATATAAATAATCACCCACACTCCACACACAATTATTTATACATATTAATTAAAAGCACACACACACACACACACACACACACATATATATATATATATATATATATATATATATATATATATTCACACACTCCACACACAATCACTTATACTCATAAATAAAAACACACACACACACACAATCACATACACACACTTAATATTACAAACACACTTGAACACTTGCTGTTTTGTGTGTTTATCTCTAATATTTGTGTGTGTGTGTGTGTGTGTGTGTGTGTGTGTGTGCAGGTGTGTTACCGTATCCTGATGCAGCTGTGTGGTCAGTACGGTCAGCCTGTTCTAGCGGTTCGGGTTCTGCTGGAGATGAAGAGAGCAGGGATAACCCCAAACACCATCACATACGGATACTACAATAAAGTAACGTCAGACATCACACTGATATAGACAGACAGATACACACTAATGTCATGTGACCATGAACCAGCATCAGAGAACTGCTCAGTGTCTGTGCCGGATCACACAGTGTTCTGTTCTGCCACCTGTAGGCGGTGCTGGAGAGCAAGTGGCCATCCACCAATCAGGGAGGGCGTCTTCGCTGGGCAAAGCTTCGTAACGTGCTATTGGCTGTGGCTCAGTTCAGGCAGCCAATCAAACAGCAGCAGAGGAGCGCATCGTTCAGCATCCCCTCAGGTCTGACACGCCCCCTTCAGCACACGATTGACAGCCGTCAATCAGCTGACTCATGTTCTTTTTCTATTACAGATGTGCTAAATAAGCCGCGCCCCCACTCTGCTCTGATTCGCCAGTCCAGCTGGAGCGGTCTGAGTGAAAGCTCGAGTCACGAATCGCTGACGAGTTTGGCCAAGAGCAACAGCCTGAGCAGCGTCCAGCCCACAGGAAGCAGTGAGTGATCTTGAGCCATGATGCCGGATTAACAGAGTCAGGATCACAGGATTAGGCTTGAGTTACAAAAGCAGAGCAGTGCAGTCAGGCTTTACTGGGGTCATCAAGAGGATCATCAACCTTCTCTGTTAACTCCGGCTTTGAGCTTGTGTTCATCAGCATGTGTAGATGAAGGCGGGACAACAGTAGTGAACAGCCAATCACAGGCTTCAAAACATAAAGACACCGTGCACATCTGGCGGAAGAGTCAGTGGAATTGATCAGCAATAATTAAAAATACTAATAATTTACACAGGAAGATGAAGAGTGCCGTCCATGAAAGAGGAGAGATTAAAGATGCCTTACACTGAGTATATACAGGGTTCTACAGGCACTCAGATATCTCAGCTCAGTCAGATCATTGTGTCTTGACCTTTCATTTACAGTGAGAATCTGGGGAGGTGTCTTAATAGTTATTTTACTCGCTGCTGATATGGTGAATCTCGTTTTGCGATCTCTAAACCAGAAGATAACCTGAATATATCCTAAACACAGCCTGAACATGATGTTTTCTGCTTGTCTCAGAGCTGACGCTGAAGAAAGCAGGAGATGTGAGCGCAGACGCCGGCTCCCGCAAGCCTCCGGCGGGCCGCAGGGATACACTGAGTCCTCCTGCACCGGTGCTGGTGCGCCGCAGCGACGTCTGCCTGTCCACATTCTACAGAGACTGTGCTGAGCCCGCCGATGCAGACTGCAGAACCCAGCCCGCCGAGAGGGACAGCAGGTACAGCACTCACTCACCCCATCACCAACCTACTTACAGGGCTGGCCCATGAAATATCGCTATTTATTGATTATTTATCTGGTATGAAGTTTCGCTATAGTTTTATTTAATCGTGGCAGCTGAGGTGTTCGTTATTTCCCATGGAGACCCGTGACTTGCAGGACGCGCACATGGTGTGCAAGCGATGCACAGGTGACATGCGTGCATTTTCCAGCCGCACCTAGTTGAAAACATCTGAAGTTTTCTGAATGCCGCGAGCGCACCGCGATTCACGCAAGTAGAACTCACCGATCTGCTTCACACTGTGTCTGGAATATACACACATCAGTGATAACAGCAGGCTAATCAGACAAACACAGCGCTCCCAAACCCTGCAGCGCTCTTACTTTCCTCCATTAACTTGTGTCAGAGCTGCAGCAATCTTTTGTTCGACTGATTCCTGTGACGCTCCAGGGACAGACGAGTCTGAAGAGCAAATTCATCGATGCGTAGATCTACCGATCCTGAACCATGCAAGCCAGTGGCGACAGCGGAGAGGGAAATAACTTCACCAATACGAGAGTGAAGAAAAAAAACCTTGAGAGAACCAGACTCAGTTCAGCACGACCATTTTCATTTCTCCGCTGGCCAAAAGTCTTGTGCAGAGCTGCAGTCTCAGTGGTGGAGGCTGGCATTAGCGAAGACTCGTCTGTCCCTCTCCTGTCCCTGTCTGTCTCATGCTCTTCACTCCACCATGACCCCCAGTGCAGCAGCAGCACAGGATCAATGAAATGAACTAAAACTACACTGAAATGTAGAGTATAATTAAACAGTGAACATCATCAAATTCTTCACATCCAGCCTTTATAACTGAAGCTGTTTCTGACCTGACATTACGCAGTCTTGAGTAACACGTGTAATTTAGCTCTTCGATTATATCACCACATTTTGATTTCTTTCCATTTTTGCCACTGACACCCCACCACACAATGCATCAGTTTCTTTAGTAATGAACCCTTCCATCCTATTGAAACTAATTACAGTCTTGTAAATTCTGTTTCATGCAATTTAAGCAAATGGGACAATAAATAATAAAAGCAGACTTACCCACTCTTGTGATTAGAAGGCCAGTTTTAATCCGTTCACCAGGTCAGCTGTGAAAAGCCCAGCTAAAGTAAATTTCACAATACTCACTGCAAAGGATCCAGGGTTTCATCTGTAAGAAAAAACTGTACATTTCTAGTCAAATTATTCTTCTGCAGTCTCATACCAAAAACGTAAATAAAGGCAGTATTAATAGCTATAAATGTGGGAGAGCGCTGATATTATGAGATTGTATTGTATTGCAATATGGAACAATTAAATGTTGATGTTAAATCAAAAGCAATTCACAAATACTTGAAAATGAGATGATTTAATGACAGTAACTTGCTATGGTTACAGTTGAATTAGTTATAAATAACTGTATAAAATAATAAAAATATGAAATGATAAAACATATGATATTAATTGTACCCATCTTAAATGTAAAATTAAAGTTACCAGAGGGAGAAGGAGAGACAAATGGGCAGAGAAGACAGACTCCAGAGTAGGAGAGGAGTAGAGCAGGAGAGCGCAGACAAGGAAAAAGACAGGCCAGGCAAAGAGACAGAGCAGAGTTCTCCACCTATTATGTGTCTTTCTTGACCATGTGACTAAAGCCCAAATGCCGAGACATTCAAACTGACCAATCAACACCTGACCACATCGTAAAGTTCCCAAAGTCCACACACCAGGCCCTGATCTTATCAGTATCTGCCTTTGGAGTCCTTCTTGAGTCAGAAAGACATGTTTTGTCATGTGCATTTGATCTCATCTCTTACAGCATCAAAACAAAAACTCTGCAGAACTATAGTAACCTGTGTGTGTGTGTGTGTATGTGTTTTTGTGACATGTCAGGACACAAATCTGTATAATGACACAGGTATTACTAAAAGATGGTGAAATATGAGGGCATTGGTGACGTCCTCATTTCTCCAGAAGCTTCTAAATCCCACAGGATGAGTTTAATCTGAGAGTAAAGCTGCACAGTCTCCTGTGATGGTTAGGTTTAGGGGTGGGGTGAGGGCAATACAATATACCGTTTATACGGTATAAAAACAATGTAAGTCTATGTAATGTCCCCACATTTCACAAAAACAAACGTGTGTGTTCTGCAGGTCAGTGGAGGTGAAGGAGACTCTGAACCGTAAGTCTGTGGATGAAAACTACAACACGGTTTCGTCTCCGAGCCGCGGTCTGGCGGGGAAACTGCAGCAGCTGCTGACGCCGACGCGTAACCGAGCGTCTGTTCGCCGCGCCGCCAGTGTAGACGACAGACGAGCCAATGGGAACGCTCGCCGCGCACACGAGCAGAAGCCCTCGCGCAAGAGCCAGATGGCGGAGAGCCTGCTGAAGGCCAAAGAGAGACTCTACAACGCCACCTCTGAGGTGTGTGTGTGTGTGTTTAGATCAGCTTTTGGTCAGCTTTTAGGCAAGTAAGTTTATTTCTACAGCACATTTCATACACAATGGTCACATGATTTACATGAACAGGAATAAAAGAGACAAAGATTAACAGTGACGAACACAGATGAATTGTGTTAAACAGGTTATCAAAGAATGAAAAACAGAGAGACACAACAGTGCAATGTGTGTGCCGTAGCACAGGGCTCATTCAGTAAAGGCTCAGCTGAACAGATGTGAGTTCAGTCCTGATGTGAATGTGCCTAATGTTGGAGCACATCTGATCATTTCTGGAAGCTGATTCCAGCAGCGAGAGGCGCTGTTATAGCTGAAAGCTGATTCACCATGCTCTGACTGAACTCTTGGAGTTTCTAGTGTATCTGATCCTGCTGATCTGAGTGATCTGTCAGGTGTGTGTTCAGTCAGCATATCTGTACTGTATTGAGCTCCTCCGCCATTCAGTGATGTATAGAGCAGTAATAATACTGTAAACTCTGTTCTGACTGTAACTGGAGCCAGTGTAGACACCTGAGGACAGCTGTGATGTGCTCTGATTCTCTGCTTCTGGTCAGAATCCTGGCCGCAGTGTTCTGGATGAGCTGTCACTGTCTGACTGTGTGTTTGGGAAGGTCAGTGAGGAGGCCGTTACAGTAATCCATCCTGCTGCTGATAAAAGCATCATGAAAACACAGCATCAGACTCCTGCAGTGTGTGAGAGAGGATAGTCTGCTGATTTACTGACTGCTCTGACACCACTACTGAAACTCACATCTGACTCCAGAGTCACTCCAAGATTCTTGACCTTATTGTCTGTTGTTTGACCTTTAGAGCAGAGATACACGTTCACCTGGAGAAGCTCATCTCGGTTCCCAAACACAATCACTTCAGCTTTCTCTTTGTTTAACTGAAGAAGATTTTAGACCATTTTAGATTTGGTTTTAGATCCGTTTATGATCATTTTTAAATCAGTTTGGATTGAATCAGTGTGTCGTGTTCTCATTTGAGCTTCAACAAGGTGTTATTAACTGTGTGTGTGTGTGTGTGTGTGTGTGTGTGTAGAGCTCTCTGTCTGTCGGGAGTGACATTGACATGGCTGACATGCAGACGCTGGCGATTCCTCTCAGGAAGTCCTGGGACTCAGCACAGGAAGCAGGCGGCATTGAGGTGTGTGTGACGTAACGGTGATTACCCTAATGCTAATCATGGCGATGCACCAGTCTAAAACAGTGTGTGTCTCTCTCTTCCTCTGTATCTATCTCTCTGTATGTGTGTGTGTGTGTCTCTCTCTGTTAATGTGTGTGTTTGTGCATGTGTCTGTTCATGTGTGTGTATATGTGTGTTTCTCTGTCTCTGTGTGTGTGTGTGTAGGTGCTGATGTCGAGCTGTTCGCTGTGCCGCAGCTGTAATTCTCTGGTGTATGATGAGGAGATAATGGCCGGCTGGTCCTCTGATGACTCTAACCTGAACAGCACCTGTCCGTTCTGCTCCGCCCCGTTCGTCCCGCTGCTGAATGCCGAGATCTGTGACCCGGGGCCTGTCTGCAGGTAACACACACACACACTCTCTACATTAGTGGTTCTGAACCCCCGGGCTGCGGACCAGTACCAGTCTGTGTATCAGTTGGTACGGGCCGCACAAGACATGATGAATTATTTCAGTTTGATTAACTCTCTGAGCCTGAAGGATCTTTTATTCTGGAAGTGCGTGTATTCTCTCGCTCGAGCACCCGAATGTAGTCCACAAGCAGCAGAATGAGTAGAGACAGACGTGTCTGGAAAGTGTCTTTGGAAAAGGCCCGGTGAAGGAGCCACGGACTGAATGGATCCGCAACCCATTAGTCAACAAATCCAGTGAATCCAGCATGTCTGTGCAAGAAGATCAACCATGGAGATCCCAAATGACGGAGGCCTTTCAGCTGCTGTTCGCATGTCACGTCTTTTCCAGAGTTCACACCAGTTCGTTATTTCCAGTGGAGGTGTGCGGAGTGAGCGATCAGCTTCAGCATGGATGAAATATCCACATTTCAGTAGACTAATTACCCCAGACACACACAAACACTGCAGCACTGTCATGTTCTCCGTGAGTAAAGTGACAGTGTAGGGTCCAGCACAGTGTCTACTGGAGGACGGAGGTCCACTGTCTGTTCGCTCTTTCCAGAACACAATGTTGATTTATTTTAAACTTAACTCATATCTGACTCACATTTTAGTCTGAGGGGGTTTACAATATTATTATATATTTATCCTCGTCTGACTCCAATTATAAAACATTGAAAAGATGATTTAGTTTGTTTGAAGATTACTTTAGATTATGATTGAATATTCTCTTAGATTCATTATTGTACATTATTCTTGTTTATTCTGAGTCCTATAACATCCTGAGTCTTGTACCGGCCGAGTATACAATCTCTTTAAGCACAAGCATGACATCTTGATCATTAAACAGAGGCGATTAACCACAATCTTACAAAAGCAGTCACTTAAGAAAAGTGAGTTACTACTTACTCAGATGAGAATATTTTTGGTGTGGTCCCCATACATCTGCTAAATCATTCATTCATTCATTCATTTTCTTTTCAGCTTAGTCTCTTTATTAATCAGGGGTTGCCACAGCAGAATGAACCGCCAACTTATCCAGCATGTTTTATGCAGCAGATGCCCTTCCAGCTGCAACCCACCTGTGGAAACTTCCTTACACACTAATTCACACTCGCACACTACGGACAATTTAGCCTACCCAATTCCCCTATAGCGCATGTGTTTGGACTGTAGGGGTCCAAAACCCACGCCAACACGGGGAGAACATGCAAACTCCACACAGAAACACCAACTGACCCAGCCGAGACTCAAACTAGCGACCTTCTTACTGTGAGGAGATCATGCTCCCCACTGTGCCACCGTTACATGTACAAACACAAACAACAGTAAAAGCATAGTAAACGGTTGATAAAGGTTTATTTTCCTTCAGTCTGAGTAAAGAACACGCTGATAATAAGAGATCTGTTACTTCACCTGCTTACTAAAGTGGAGATTTCTCTCTGAACTGAACATGATCCTGTAAGAACTCTGAGCTGCTCAATATTACACATATTAATAAGCATATCAAATACTGTCAGAGGAGAACACAACATATTTAAGACTGTGTGTGTGTGTGTGTGTGTGTGTGTGTGTGTGTGTGCAGTACGGAGCGCGGGACTCTGCATGCGGAGGATGAGCTGGAGAATGCCATGCGTCCCCCTGCTGGCCGAGACGACACACTGCAGCACCTGTGCAACGGCAGCAGAGAGGCGGACTCCAGCTCCGAGACCAGCAGCCAATCAGAGAGCAGCGTGCCGTCTGGGGGTGGAGCCCCGCAGGTGACCGTGGAGTACCTGAGCCCGCTGGTGCTGCGCAAGGAGATGGAGAGTCTGCTGGAGAACGAGGGTGAGGGTGTTCTCTCTCAGGTCCTCTTGCTGGACAGCCACTCCATCATCTTCTGGAACCTGGTGTGGTATTTCACCCGCCTCGGCCTGCCCACCAACCTGCCACAGCTGCTGAGGGCGTCGCCACTGACCGCTGCGTTTACACAGGTGAGCACACACACACTCTACAGGTGAACACACTCTACAGATGACCACACACACTCTACAGGTGAACACACACACACTCTACAGGTGAACACACACACACTCTACAGGTGAACACACACACTCACACACAGGTGTGCAGAACTCAATAACATGTCCTTTAATTTGTGATGTCTGTGTGTAATTTAGCTTTCCAGCGAATTGATCGGATCATTGCAGTATTCTGTGTGTGTGTGTGTGTGTGTGTGAGCAGGGGCTGGAGGGTGTGTCGGTGCGTGTGCGTCTGCTGTGGGACACTCTGAGTCCGGATACGGAGCAGTGGCCGCCGCTCTACATGCTCTGGAGGATCCACAGTAAGAGCTGTGCAGAACACACACACACACACACACACACACACACACACACACACAGGTTAGAGTAAGGTCATCTCTGTTCTAAAACTGCTCGTGACAGTCAAATGTTGTGAGTGTGTGAGAACGCATCCCTATAGCGACAGATGTGAAACAGCAGTGTGTGTGTGTGTTGTGAGTGCTGGTCAGGTGTGTGTGTGCTTCAGTGTGCGTGTGTGTGTGTGTGTTGATGCTTCTGTCAGTCTATGTGGCTCCTGTCGCTGTTCATCTAGAACTCCACATCTATAATCCTCTTAGTCTATGCTGTGTGTGATGTCCTCTGTCCTGCAGGTGGCGCTCTGGTGCGCAGCTACAGCTGGAAACACCACAATCACCCGTTCAGCCTGAGCTTCCTGGAGGAGCTGCTACGCTGGATCGGCATGAACGAGGTGCACAAGGCCATCACACACTTCCTGGAGACGCTGGCCAAGCAGAACACACAGCCACGCATACAGAGGTGAGTGTGTGTGTGTGTGAGAGAGAGAGTGTGTGTCTATTTGTGCAACTGTGTATGTATGAGAAAATGTGTGTGAGAGAAAGGGTGGGAGTGTGTACGTGCGCATGTGATAGAGTGTTTATGACAGAGACTCTGTGTGTGTGTGTGTGTGTGTGTGTGTGTGTGTGTGTGTGTGTGTGTGTGTGTGTGTGTTCTGCAGGAGTCTGTACAGAGAGATGCTCTTCCTCACTCTGGCTGCTATGGGCAAAGATCATGTTGGTGAGTTCATTACAGCACACACACACACACACACACACACACACCTCTGCTCAGAATGAAGAATTAATGCTGTTCTCTAATCTCTCTCTTTGTGTGTGTGTGTGTGTGTGTGTGTGTGTGTGCAGCTTCGTTTGATAAGCGCTATAAGGCTGCGTATGTGCGCTTGTGCAGTTCAG